CTTTTCCCATAAGGAAGTACTCACAGCCATGGCATTGAGAACTTTAGAACAATTACTATTATTTCTGCTTTTGTAAACTTGAATTACATGACATTGAAAGAAGAAACCTCCAAAGATACAAAATTAAGATACAAAATAGTGATATTCTTCTACAGTAAATAAGTACTTAGATAATTGTATACAGTTATATAAAGCTTGTTAGCCGAACATCTTTTAAAAATGGATTTGCAATAGGTAAGCGTGATGGTATCCCAAAGCAATAAAGAAGCTTTAGAAAAACTTTCCACAATCCCACAATCAATGCCTGGGTAATATAATGATAATATAATATAATCTTGCCATGGTTCAGGTGCAGTAAGGGCTATAATGTCTACATGAGCATTGGCAGGCATAAAGATCTCCTGCCTAATGCACGAGGTTTTGTGAAGTTTCAAATGGGTGATTTAATTAGTAGGACAAGTCAATTAAATATCCCCTTCAAATCCAATCAGTTGCCTTTGAAGTACTTTGGAGAGATTTGAAGGCAATTCAGAGATTCAATGGATTTTTCAGTGCTTCTGGCTTTGTAGTGCTTCAGGCGTTACATGGACAAAGCTGAGAGGCAGTTGTGACTGATAGGGTCTTTGATAGCAATGTGAGTAGGCAATCAATGGATTTTATCACCCCTGCAACCTCTGATTATCAGCTTTGGTGGGATGTCTGCCCTTCTTTTGGTGCCTCTCCTTTCTACAATCTGTACAGACAGATTCATTTGGAGGCACAGAGAGGAAGAGAAATGGAAGGGGAATTTTATTCTGGTATTCTTTTTATCTCTATTTGAGCTGCAGAGCATTTCAGATTCAATTTCCAAAAGGAGTGTTTTGAGCATGAGAACATGGGTTTGATAACTGTTTCCAACAAAGCAATGTCCTTTCCTGGGATTGTATGTGTAGTGCTATCCCGAAAGGGTGGCTGAAGTCTGGTTTCTCCTGGCCCTCTTGGTATGGCTGCCGGTCCACACTGGTCCCTCATTCAGTCACCTTTACTGGCCTGGGTCATGTAGTGTTGTGGTGGTCAGTCTACTCTCAGCAGGCAGGTCACATGGTGGGGTGATTATCAGTCTTTTCCCAGCAGGTGGGTCATGTGATGAGATGATATTCATGTGGCTGGTCGGCCATTCTTTCTCTCTCCCTCTCTCCCTCTCTCCCTCTCTCTCTCTCTCCTCTCCTCTCTCTCTTGAATTGCCTACTGGGCTCTCCTTCCACTGTCTCTGCTCCTTCATGGATTCCTCTGCTTGCCCCACAGAAGCCTCTCCTATCGTCCCTATTGCCTTCACTACCTCTCCCTTTCCCCAGGCCTCTTTTTCCATTTCCCCCTTAAGCCTCTTCTCCTATCCTCTTAGGCCTCCTTTTTCCTATCCTTACCTTCTGGCTTTTTCCCCAGCAACCCCCTCCTTCCTCGTCTCACATTCCCTTTGTCTCCTCTTCCCGCTAAAAACTCTTCCTTTTATTCCCTTCTCCCCCCCACCGCTACATATTGTTCTGACCTAGGCTTCCTTAGAAATTAAACAGCACAAACTTAGTCCTGGCAAACCTCTTAAATTCATACGGCTGTAAATTACTTTCATTTACAGTCCACAAGGCTTGATAAACAGTCTTTCAGAGGAAGGTTATCAACACCCACCTGTCTCACATGAACCACTGCCAAAGAGCTCATTTCCAGACACAGGGCAAGGCCAAACTTGGCACAGAGTCACAAACAATTTTCAAATCTTGAATCGGCCAGATTAACTAATTGCTTCCTGCAAAAGCTCACGGCCTGTTCACTTCTCTTTTATGTCTTATGGGAGGGGCCAATCATCTCTAAGCCTTACTCCCAAGTCGATCCTGTTTCCTTAATTGTTCGTGTCTCCTAGCAGCTCTGCGCATGCACACACTGGGAACAGGCTCACGCAGTTCTTCTGCCTCACTGATGTCAGACTCCGGAGATAGCCTTGGCCCCCTCTCTGCTTCCAACTCAGAGCCATTGTCTGAGCCTTCCCCAGACTCCAGGACAGGCCCATGTTCCTCCCCAACCTCCTCACTGTCTGACTCTGCTGCCAGCTCTGCTGGCCGCTGGTGGACCACAACAATATGTTTATGCTGTGCAATTCTAAAAAACACTGAACTATTTTAGATAGGTATCGTATTTGTCTTCACACAGACCCCAAAACTTTCTGGTGAACAGGCCTAAAATCGACTTTACAGCCTTATGTAAACTTAGGATCCAGATAACTATGGAACCATGTATTCCTGAAGATTAAGTAGGTGGGGCTTGTCTTGGATAATTATTTGCATGGTCCCAGAAGTCAGACTTCTCAAATAATCACAATGAACAAAGGCTTGTGACAAAAGTAAAAAATAACAAAAAAAGCTTCTTCCAACATGTTAAAAACAAGAAAAAAGTCAAGGAAACAATTGGTCCATTGATGGGAGAAAGTGGCAAGAAGGTGATAAGTAACACGGAGAAAACAGAACTACTTAACTCATTTTTTGTATCTTTCTTTACACAAAGGGAAAAAATAGTCCAACCTATCAAAAATAGCACCACAAAAAACAGATTAGGAACACAAGTTAAAATAGGGAAGATAATGGTAATTGAGCACCTATCTATCCTAGATGAGTTCAAATCACCAGGACCAGATGGATTACATCCCAAGGTTCTGAAGGAACTGGCAGATGAGATCTCACAACCACTGAACCAGGGGTGGATTCTAATTTTTTTTACACCGGTTCTGTGGGCGTGGCTTATTTTGTGGGCATGGTTTGATGGTCATGTGACAATTCTTTAGGATTTAGCAGAGGTACTGCTCTACCAGGCTTTTAACTGCTTATAGAGCTGTACCTGTCTACCCATTTGTTTTTCGAGCATCCTGGTCTACCCATGTTCTTGAAGAGTCCTGGTCTACCCATTTGTTTTTGGAGCATCCTGGTCTACCCATTTGTTTTTCGAGCGCACTGATCTACCACACACTGCCTTTTAACATTGATCAGCTGTAGGGTGGCCCCTTGAAGCCCCGCAACAAGAGTTTAAACAGTTTTTTTCCTTCTAGACGATCAGCTGGGACTCAGGAGGCAGCGAAAAATTGGGGGTGGGGCCAAATAAAAGATAAGAATAATGCGGGAGGAGGGGCAGGAGGACCCAGCTCCCGAACAAAGAGAACCGGTTTGGTGACATCATATTGTCACTGCTACCGGCTCGACCGAACCGTGCCGAACCGGGAGGAACCCACCATTGCACTGAACTATATTTTTCAAAGATCCTGAAGCACCAGGGGGCTGCCAGAGGACTGGCAAAGAGCAGGTGTAGTTCCCATTTTCAAAAAAGGGGAAAAAATAGATCCAGGAAACTACAGACCAACAAAGTAATAACCAAAAGCCAACATGGGTTTGTCAAAAACAGATCATGCCAGACTAATTTTATTGCATTCTTTGACAAAGTGATAAAATTAGTGGGCCAGAGGAATGTTGTCAATATAATTTACTTGGACTTCAGTAAGGCATTTGATAAAGTAGACCATAACTTACTACTTGATAAAATAGAAAAATGTGGGTTAGACAGCATCATCACCAGATGGATTGGTAACTGGATGACAAACTGTACTCAACGTGTAGTCTTCAATGGAACTGCATCTACATGGAGGGAAGTATGCAGTGGAGTACCCCAAGGCTCTGTTTTAGGCCCAGTTCTCTTCAACATCTTCATCAATGATTTCAAAGAGGGGATAGATGGGGAACTCATCAAATTTGCAAACAACACCAAGCTAGCAGGAATAGCTAACACTCCAGAAGATAGGCTTAAGATACAGAAGGATCTTGACAGACTTGAATATTGGGTGCTAACTAACAAAATGAAATTTAATGGTGAAAAAAGTAAGGTTCTACATTTAGGCAAGAAAAATCAAATGCACAGGTATAGTATAGGTGGTACCTGGCTCAACAGTAACTTGAGAGGGATCTTGGAGTCCTAGTGGACAATCATTTAAATATGAGCCAGCAGTATGCTGCAGCTGCCAGAAAAACCAACACAGTTCTAGTTTGCATAAACAGAGGGATAGAATCAAGATCACATGATGTGTTAATACCATTTTATAATGTCTTGGTAAGGCCACACTAGGAATACTGCATCCAGTTTTGGTCACCACAGTGTAAGATGTTGAGACTCTAGAAAGAGTGCAGAGAAGAGCAACAAAGATGATTAGGGGACTGGAGGCTAAAACATATAAAGAACAGTTGCAGGAACTGGGTATGTCTAGTTTAATGAAAAGAAGGACTAGGGGAGACATGGTAGCAGTGATCCAATATCTCAGGGGCTGCCACAAAGAAGAGGGAGTCAAGCTATTCTCCAAAGCATCTGAGCGCAGGATAAGAAGCAATGGATGGAAACTAATCAAGGAGAGAAGCAATTTAGAACTAAGGAGAAATTTCCTGACAGTTTGAACAATTAATCAGTGGAACAACTTGCCTCCACTGGAAGTTTTTAAGAGATTGGATAACCATTTGTCTGAAGTGGTGTAGGGTATCCTGTCTAAGCAGGGGGTTGGACTAGAAGACCTGCAAGGTGCCTTCCAACTCTGTTATTCTATTCTAATTTACCTCCTAAAATCAGAATAAGCTGTACATTTCCAATTTTTTGCTACTCTTCCTTTTGTGATATTATTCTACTATTTTAATATTTTGCCATGAGAAGGAAATCTAAGTTCTGCTGGACTGGAGTGGTAGATGAAGTTCTGTAAATAAATTAAATAAAGAAATACTTTTCTTTTGCTTGGGTGAACTTTTCTCAGACAATACCCTTAATTTTGTCTTTCCTTTATCTGATTTGTAGTATAGTTCTTTTTAGTGTAAGTATCCAATTTGCCTGCAGTTATTCAGCTTTTTTTAAATATCCTCTTAAGTCTGGTTCATTCATCACTCTGTGTGTGTGCATGTATTCATGTTGTTTTCTTTCTTTCTATTCTATCTTTGTCTTGTCTTCTATAGGTTTCTTTGATATAAATTCACATTCTTGCATCAAAATGGAATATAAACTGCACCAGAAGCAGGAAGGCCCAAGTTCTACTCTACACAAAGCTACAGAAACTCTCTGTGTGATTTGAAGCCAATCGCTTTCTCTCAGTTCAAGGATGGTTGTTATGGGGTTATACAGTATGTGGTAAGAAAAAATAGGAGGATAGAGTGTTATGTATGGCACCATGAGCTCCTTAATGAAAGGAAGGATATAAGTAAAATGCATAAACATAATCAGCATGCACTTTCTCCATTGGTTCAGTGTAGCTTCTGTATAGGCTCTTTGCTGGAAAATTAGCATCATCCTTTACTCACCTCTGCTATCTTTGCAAAGAAAGGAAAATATTTCACACATTTTTTGCAGTGAAAAATCTTGAAGCTGTCTTGATGAAGCATTGTAGAGGTAGTGTTCTATATTTGATTTGCCATTGCTATTTTTCTCATTCTATTCTGCCAGAAAATGAGACCGAGTATGGATATTTCCCTTTAGAACCCATAGCTGAATATTTTATCAAACTGAATGTTTGAAACTGTTCAAATGGAATCTTGCATTTCCAAAGCTTGAATTCAAATTCAGATCACTGGATCTGATTTGATTTTCAATGCATCTATTCATTCATATCACTCACATATCAGCAAACGTGCTCCTTTATCCCTGAGGTTTATTTTATTCATTTATTTGTTGGCATTTTGTTCTGTCTTTATTACTTTATAAGTAACTCAAGGCAGCGAACATACATAGTACTCTTTCCTCTTCCTATTTTCCCTGCAACATCAGACTTAAAGAATAAGTCTTTTGCTAATCAAGCTGAATTGGTTCACAGAAGGAGTGCCAATGTACAGAAGAAGATATTGGATTGACTATGCCTGTGATGGCGAACCTATGGCACGTGTGCCACAGGTGGCATGTGTAGCCTTATCAGTGGGCACATGAGCTCAGCTCTGGTGTGCTGGCCAACTAATTTTCAGGCCTTCTGGGCCCACCAGAAGTTGGCAAATGGGCTGTTTCTGTCCTCCAGAGGGCCTCCCGGGGGGGGGGAGGGAAGGCCATTTTCGCCCTCCCCAGACTCCTAGAGAGGCTCTGGAGCCAGGGGAGAGAGAAAAATGTGCCTACTGGGTCAGCACATGTCAGAAACGGAGGGGGAGGGGAGTGTGTGGGGGGCGCATGCATGGGGGGGAAATAATGGGTGTGGACATGTGCGCGCACCCCCCCAGCCCCCCACTCCTGGCACGTGATGGCAAAAAGGTTAGCATTCACTAGACTATGCTAATATGCCACTAAAAACCCTCTGGAGGAGGTTCTTTTCTATATTAAACTGGCCTTTGCGGTCCCTATTGCATTCATTTTATAATTAAGAAATAATCATAAATTATAAACCATCTTTTTTCTGAGAGAACAAAATATTTTTTTTAAAAAAAAAATTATTGATCTTTTGTTTCATTGAATATTCTTCCGATATGAGGAAAAACCCTTGAGGTCTTTTAATTAAAGGCACTGTAAATAATTATCTTTTAGTTGAAAAGTACATTTCTCAGAAATGCAAAATGGCTCTGAAGTTTGGATGACTTCATAGTAGCCTGCATCAAACAGCATTATTTGAGGCTTCAAACAATGCATCAGACTGCATTATTTCAGTCTGCAATAAAAAATATTGTTATCTAGGTCACAGAATATATTTTATTTTTATTGTGAAACTGCATTAGTACCAAATATTGTAATATGCTCTGGCTCAAGACTATTTACAAGGTAGCAAATTGTCTATGTATAATTGCTGCAAGCAAATTGGGTTGAGACAATGCAAGTCTTGTGATTTTGAGTTGAGGTGATACTGGAAACAATTTATAATAGAACTTGTGATGCCAAAATAAACAGACTGAATGTAAGTTTTTGGTTCATTTGACAGATATAGGTATAAATCAAATCCAAATGTATAGGAGATTGTCAACTTGGATATTGAAAATACTTGTTTTGGATTACGTGAAGTTTTAGTTGAAATAAACTTGTAAACTACCAACTCTGGATCAATGTGTATAACATGCAGAATAAGAACGAAGTTTTGTAGACAGTAATAAGTTTTCTCTGTTTATTTATAATCAAAATGCCAACATTTATTGAATATTTAATTCACTGGACAGCAGGGGTGGGCTGCTAGTGATTCGCAGGGGTTTGGGAGAATCTCTAGTTAAGATTCTATGCAGTTCAGAGAACCTCCAAATCCCACTCCTGGCTGGCACCGCCCACCCTGCCCCGCCCCTCCCAGGAGTCCCCACGTGGCCCATTTTGGATGCAGGTAAGTGCAGGGCAAGCACAGAGGATCAGGGAGGATGAAAAACGGGCCTACCAGAAGTTCGGGAAGGCCAGAAATGGGCCCGTTTCCTGCCTCCAGAGTGGCTCTGGAACCTGGGGAGGGCAAACTCTCCCACCATGATGCAGGAGGCCAACTAGGCCATGCCCACCATGGCCACACCCACCCAGCAACTGGGCAGAGAGCCCCTTACTAAAGATTTTGAAGCCCACCCCTTCTGGACAGCATCTGTCAAAACCAGAACTAAATATGAATATTGTAAGGTAACACCATCAATTGTATTTATATAATTTAATAAATTGAATGTAAAGATTTGTAGGTATTGGACTAGCACAGGGAAAACCCAGCCTCAAATCCTCCCTTAGTGTTGGAAAAATTGCAGATGACTTTGGAACAATCAAGTCATGTTTCCTCTTTCAACTCACCTTTCTTTATAAGGTGACTTTTCATGGGAAAATTGAAGGGATATGCTTATTTAAACTACATTGGAGGGCTTTCCCCCCCCCCAAAATGGGATGGGAACCAGAAAATTAATGAAACAAACAATTTTCTTCCATTTTGCTCAATAGACATCTGATTAGACATCTCTAAGACCTGGGGGGGAAAAAAACAAATATAGAAGATGGAAGGGAAAACAAATGCATTTGCTTGCTATGAAAGGAATGAGAAAGAAAGAATATAATTAGCATACTGATCTTGTTTAGTAATAAGCATAAATACTCGGTTTTTTTATTAACTTCATTTTTAAAAAAAATGAAAGAAGGCATATATGACACATATAATATAAATACATTTCTACGGTGAGCTGAATAGTGAAACCCAAGTTTAATTTATTCAATTACTTTTGATGTAATGGTTTGAATAAAAGAAGACCATTCATAAATAATAGGAAGCAAAGCTGAATAAAACTAATAAAATATAGCAGGATAGGTTCTTAAAATGTAATCTGAAGTTTGACTTTCAAAACTGCTGACTGCTTGATATTCTTACCCAAACCCAATTCTATTGTAAAATTATTTCTAGAATGCAAACACAAATGAGGTTTGCAGCAAAGGGCTGCAGAGCGCAGTGCTGTTTTTTATATTCTAGAGCAGGATTGTCCAACCTTGGCAACTTTAAGACTTGTAGGTGTCATCTCAGCCAGCATGGGGAAGCCCACAAAGTTGCCAAGGTTAGACATCCCTGTTCTAAGGAGTCAGCCAACATTCTTTTTCATTCACTTCCGTTTTTTTTTCCTGGCCAGTTCCTGGCTCTTGATCATTCTCCAACTGTCCTAGCTCATATTTTTTTTCATGGGTTTTGTTTTCCCCCCAAGTGATAGCACATTATAAAATTGCCAAGATCCCTTAATAAACTTCTGAAGTCAATGCATTTGATATTGTCAATACAATCCTATCTGCATTTACTTAGAACTAGATTCCACCAAGTTTAATGAGACTTTCTCCTAAGTAATGTGTCAAAGAGTTGATGCCTGATTTTCCCACATTTAATCCAAACATTTTAATTAGCACATTACCTAATACAAATTGCCAGAAAATGTCACTTGTATGTGACTGTCAGAGTTCCAGATATCTTGGATAATAGGTATCTTTTAACAAGATATTTTAAGATAATTTTGTGTATTTTGACCTGGAATCATTTTCTCCAATTTAATTCCATATTTTTGTCTCCTTCCTTATTAACTATTTATTAATAATTATGCATTACTTCTCTTCAATTGTCTTTTTCTTGTAAGCAATGTAAAATTATTCTTCTTAAGCCTCACATAATATGCTTGTCTGGTTAAATAAATATGGAAGTTTATGGAACCGAAGAAATGGATGAGGCCATTTTAGAAATAGCTACTTTATGCAAAAGAATGTGACAAAATAAAAGAAAAGAATAAAATATATAGCTGAGCGTGAGTTGATAATTCCTTTACATGAAATTTTTGTGTTTTTCATATTTGGGATCAGAATATGAGCTGATGATACTGAAATGCATTATTGCTTATTTATTTTATACACTAAACAATTTTGGTAGTTTTTTAATGTCTTTCATAATAGAGAAAATATTTTTAAACAATCCTTAAGTTTGCAAAATTAATGTTTTAAATACTTCTCTGAAGTATATATCTAATGTATCCGAACCGGCAGCAGCCCACCTCTAGACTATTAAATCTTTCTTGATGTATTGACTACACAAACAAAAGTACTGAAAATAGGTTTTAAAGATTAACATTCAATTAAAACTCCTATTTCCACTAGGTTCTTTGTCCAAAATCTTCTGTTAAATGCTGAAATTATTGACTCTACTCTTGGTCAGGAGGCTCTCAAGAGAATTTGGTATATGTCTTTTGCATATAAAACATCAGTTGGGAAAGCATTTTTCTTTGATGGTGGTTGATACAGCTTTTTCTTTTCCTTTTAGTTAAAGCAACCAACCATCTAATAAAGAAATACATTTCTTCCTAGCATGAGGTTTCTTCCAATCTTGCATCTCTTCTGGCTGTACAGCATGATGATTACCAGACCAATGTTTTATGTTCGTGTGATCTTTTCTAGAGAGAAACTGTGATTGATTAGACCATATATATGTGATGATAATGATGAAGCTGATGCTGCTTTATTCCATTTTTATTTACTTTAGATTAAAGGACAGAACAACAAATCCTATCTGAAAACTCTAGGGCAGTGTTTCCTAAGCTTGGTAGCTTGAAGATGGGTGGACTTCAACTCCCAGAATCCATCTTCAAGCTATCAAGGTTGAGAAACACTGCTCTAGGGTAAGATGATTTTCTCCCTGCCTGCCTGCCTGCCTGCCTGTACATTATACTCAGATATATTCATAAGATATGTAT